TTCCCTTTCACCCCGGGAAGGTGTGATTGTCTCATGGCATGGTGACAAGCCATCTCTCTTCTCTGTCAGGTGGGGTCCCCAACCCCGCTCAGCCTTCTCTCTGCATGGATGCTGAAGGACCAGTCTCACTTGAATTTCTGAGCTTGAGCAGTAAAGTGGAAACAAAGAAACCAATGGAAACAAAGAAACAAGTTATTGTGGCAAAGCTCCCCACCACAGAGAAGCTGCCCTGAGTGGAAGGGAGGGTGTGGGCATGCCCATTTGTTTCCTGTCTCACAGTGCTCTTTGCTTTCTTATTGCAGACCTGCATGGTTACAACAAAGTGATCTGCAAAACTGAAAATATTTACTCTCTCTCTTTTACAGAAAAGGCTGACCAGCCTCTGGTTCCTGGACCGGTCAAGTGATTGGAGTACCTTTCCAGTTTGGAAACATCTGGGCAGGCCTAGGTTTGCAAAATAATTTAAGAGTAGTTACGGAGTTTTTTTCTAAACATTTTTACGGCTGTATACTTCTGAGCTGAGGTTGTGCTGTGTAATTCTGAGCCGGGATTTTCTCAAACTGTTTCTCATTTCTTATACCGGACACCCCTAAATTCCAAGGGGAATGGGATGCTAAGGAAGCCACGGAATTTAGGAAAAATATACAGATTTCATTTCCATTTAAGCATCGATGTATCTCCATTCTAGGCAGTATCGGTTCTGTGGTATCGATAAAGGAATAAATAGCAACTAAATTTAAGAAAATTGTGGGTCATTGGGTACACAAGTTCTTCTTTTCAACATTTTTGTAATGTTTGCAGTTTAAGATGACCATTCCTGAGAAACAGGCAGCCTCTTAGAATGAAATAGCATTTTCCCTGAACAATATTCAATTTTTATTTCATAGACAGCAGGAAGAGAAATCACACATCCAACACTTGGGGACCTCAATGATAAAATGTAACTTTCTGAGAGCACACTCCCCCGTCTCCCCTTGCTCTTTTCACTGTCCCATTGTCCCTGAAGGCTCTTTTGTATCTTCTGCTCATGACTCCAGTAACTCTTACTCCTCGTTCCTCAGCTGGTAAGTTTACTTTTCTACTTTGACCAGGCAAACTGAAGCCAACAGAAGAGAACTTTCACCAGCAACTCCCAGCACATCCGCTAGCCTTCTGAGGTCTGTGACCTCACTCTTGCTGCCCCACCTCTTATTACAGGTGACATCAAAAGCCAGATCATCCAAAAGTCGCCAGGGGGGCCATCCATCCAATCTTCTCCGGGCTGTCACTCCTACATCCATCCTTTCTGTCACAACCTCATCTATTTTGTTCTCCTGCTACTTGTCTCTTTTCAGTATATAAAAGTCCATCCTCTTAAAAGAAACAATCAGCACTCTTTGACCCTAATTCGCCCCCACCAATTGCCACCCCATGTCTTTGCAGCAAATCTTTAATGAGTAGTTTAAACTCACTGTCTGCATATTCTCTTGAGCCATTCCCATTTGCACCCACTCTGGCTTTTCCCCTGATACCTCACTCTATGGAAACTGCTCTGTCAAGGCCATCAGTGACCCCACGTTGCTAAATATAGTGGTCAGTTTTTAGTCTTCATCATGCGTGGCCCTTTGGCAGCATTTGACCCAGCCCTTCCATGCCTCCACCCCCGTGTTCCTGCTTTACTTGGCCTCCAGCCCATCGCTCTGCTTTCCATCCACTGGCTGGTCTTTTGCCAACGTCTCCTCTTTTTTCCAAACATTTACTGCGAATGTGCTCCGGAGTTGGGTCCTGGATCTCTCCACTATCTCTCTGCTATAAGTTTGGTGGAAGCAACCAGACTTGGAAATTGACATGCCATCAATTTCTCGATTTGTCCAAAACTCCCTGATTGGCCCTTTCCATTTGGAACTCTCTCCCTGATACTCATATTCTTTTTCTTTCATTCATCTTGCTTTCACATTCATACATATGTTCTACTGCGTAAATTACTTTTCCAAATTTTGAATCAGTCCATACATATCATGTAAAATGCTCAGATCTCTATTATTTCCACTAAGATGCTTATTCTACCTTAGAACCTTTCTGCATTTTGGTATTTATGTCAATAAAGTGAATAGTATTTCTACAAGCCTCATAGTTAAACAGTGTGTTTGTTTGGAGCTATTATGTAACATGAAATAATGATACATCAACATAGTCCTTTTTCATTTAATTTTATGTAACATCAAGATGAGGTTTTTGTACTGAAGACTGGTTTTATTGAAATTTTATCTACGTTATGGACAGTCAGTTTATGTGAAAGCCCTCATTTCTCACCTTTTCTGATATATTATCCATTTGGCTATTATAACATACACCTTGGCATGAAATAAAATTCCAGATTCATTCACATAATAAAATTAATCATTTAAATTATATTTTAATGTTAAAAATAAAGAAAAAAAACCCCAGACTCCTCTACCTATTAGGCATTTCTGTGGCAATATGTAAGACTCCTTAACCATGACATTGAAGATCTGAGCTGATTCCAGCCCCTTTCCACCTGCTCAGCACCATCTTGTCCCATCCCCTGTGGATGGAGAGGACATCCATCCCATTTTCCAGGTTCATATGTTGGAATCATGTTCTTTCTCTCTCTTACTCTTACACACACACACACACACACACACACACACACAGCAAATCCAGCTTCTTAGAAAATTCTGGCCCCTCTCTCTTCATTAACCACCTACTCCCTGTTCCCCACCCTCCTAGGAGCCACTTTCTGCCCCTTCTTGGACACCAAATAGCCTCCTTCTTCCATCTTTGCTTTTCTACAATCTCATCCGCACAGAGTCAGAGGGAGCCGATAAAAGCATACATTGAGGGGGTGGGTGCAGCTCAGTGATAGAGTGCATGCTTAGCATGCATGAGATCCTGGGTTCAAACCACAGCACCTTCACGAAAATAAATAAATTACCCTCCCCCCAAAAAAACCCAAAACAAAAGCATAAATTGGACATCACCCATCCCATCAAAACTCACTAAAAGGGTCACCATTTCATTAGGAGCCAAAGTCGTCCCAAAGTCTTCCAGGACCAGGCATGCTCTACCTCTCCGCCCACACTCTCCCCCTCACTCTGTGGGCCTCTGGCTCCGGCTCTTCCTTCTTCCTCCGGATCTATGCTGCTTCAAGTTCATTACTCCGTGAGATCTGCCAGGATTGACTTCTTCCCTCCTGCCTGCCTTGCACCCCACCACCATCACCTGAGTTTGCTCATATCACTCTTATTTTTCCCCAAGCTCTTGCTACCCCCAACATGATGCCTGTTTCCTCTACTAAAACTCTGAGCCCCCAGTGATGGGGAGTCGTGTCTAATTTGTTGACTAATAAAGCCCAAGACCCTTTGGAATGGGTATAGTTACTAGATTCCCATATGTAGTAGGAGCTTATACAGATTTGCTGAATGAATGCAGAGGTCCTGGTCCAATCCGATGGAGCACTTGTGTGTCCTGCTCAAAGAATAACTCTCCTTTCCTCCTGAGAGGGGGTGACTACTTCCTTGATGATCAAAGGCAAGATCTATTTTCTTTATGCTGTTAACCTTAGGCGAGGAGACTGGGGGATCTTCATTTATATTTTAAAATTTGATTCACTCTGCAGTTTGTCTTCTGTCTATGTATCCTTTTGAGAAACCGTTTATGAGTGATCATTCTTCCATCAGATTGAACAGGATCCAGGGGGAAGTACCAAGCCTGTCCCATCGGCCATCCTGTGTGTCATGTCCTGTGACCCATTGGATGCTCAGCACGTAAGTGAAACGACAGGAGTGAGTGAAGAGTTGGGAGCATCTCATTATTGTGGTAGCTGCATTCTGTCCGATGCCTTGAGATTTGGGGAAAGGTTTACAAGTGCGGAGGGGAGAGGCCAGGTCCTCTGTGCTCTTCCTGAGTGCCCTGGCTTTACCCATTCCCCCAGCCCCCTCTGGGCAGCCAAGCCCAGGAGCTGGGCCACCGGCGATTGTGCTGATCAATAATCCACTTCACCTAAATTCCGGGGGTAGGAGAGGCCAGCACAACTGGTTGTAGACTCTGGAGTCAGGTCCTTGGAGGAATTCCTCACTGAACGATGTTTTGGAACTTTTATTTTTCTCTATAGCCTCCAGCTGAAGAAACAGATTGCCTTAGATACATGAACGGTGAAGACACCTACTATCCCCATGGAGCCCAGTTGGGGCTGGGAGTCTGCTGTTTGTACTGCCAGTGGGCTCGTGTTGCTTTGGGCATCCCTGTGCCTGAATTCCTGCAGTACACTCGGTGGTAAGAACGGAGGTGCCTGGCAGGGAGGGAAGCGGGTCGGGAGACTGCACAGCTGGGGAGATGTTAACCTGGGGTGATCGGGAACCTGCTGATGCATGGCATCTCGGTGCAGGGAACTCTCCACACTCAGAGGGGTTCCCACTCCCGCCGGGTCCCTTTGATCAGGGTGCTGGGCTGTCAGCACAGCAGGGTCCATGTGAGGATCATGGTGCCTTCAGGCAGTGGGAAGTGAGGGGTCAGTGGCACTTAATGTGTTTCCCAATCTGCAAAACTGGAATGACGTTAACCATCCCGCAGGTTCGTTGATGGGCTGGGACACACTAGACAACCTGGAGCTGGAATTCCTCTGTCCCGATTGTTTTCCTTCCTTCCCAGTATTTGCTGTTACAAGCTCAGTCTCTCTGTCTCTCTTTCTTTCACTTGTAACTTTCTCTCCTGCTCTGGTTTCATTTGATTCCCACCTTCCTCCCAATCCCAAGATGAGTGAAATTAATTTCTGTGTGTCAGTTCCAAATTCCCGGGAAAGATGCTCTGTCCCCTCTTGATTTGTTGTCCAACCCATCAGTTGCAGCCAGAGGAGAGAGTCCCTCTGTGACCAGTGCAGGGGCTCTGCCCAGCCCCCCAGCCACCACTGTGGGAGCACATAGCTCTCCGAGGAGGATGTACTGGCTGTGACTTGGTGTCACTAAGTGTGAATTTATGTCTCCTCTTGCCCCACCTTCATCCTCCTAAA